CCAAGATAAAGGCAGTACAAGATTGTGAATGACCTAAGAATGCTTTTGAGGTCTGTAGTTTCTTGGGGTTGGTCGCGTATTATTGTAAATTTGTGAAAGATTTCTCTAGATTAGCCTCACCATTGACTAGATTGATGAGGAAATGAATCAAATTTGTGTGGAGTGAGACTTGTGAGAAGTCATTTCAAAAGCTTAGGGTTAGACTTACCACTGCTCCAATATTGATTATTTTGGAGAGGGGTTTGGGCTATTCGGTGTATTGTGATGCTTCTTAGGAAGGTTTGGGTTGTGTTTTGATGCAAGAGGGGGGAAAGTAGTAGCCTATGGCTCACGGCAGTTGAAAACACATGAGAGGAACTACCCTACTCATGATCTAGAGTTAGTAACAATGATCTCTGCCTTGAAGATTTGGAGGTATTATTTGTATGGAGAGAAGTTTGAAGTGTTTTTTGATCACAAGAGCTTGAAATATCTGTTTACATAGAAAGACTTGAATCCGAGGTAGAGGTGGTGGATGGAGTTTATAGAAGATTATGACTTTAAGTTGCATTATCACCCGGGGAAAGCCAGTGTTGTGGCCGATGCCTTAAATAGGAAATCCATTAGCAGCGTAGCGTGTTTGTGTCGAAGTGCCTTGCTTGTTAATATGTGAAGGCCGAGCATCAGAGGCCAACGAGTTTATTGTAACCCTTACCTATAGCCAAGTGGAAATGGGAGCATGTCACGATGGATTTTGTTGTAGGTCTTCCGAGGACTCAACGAGGTAATGACGCCATTTGAGTGGTAGTGGACCGATTGACCAAGTCAGCACACTTTGTACCTATGCACACGAGTGACTCGATAGATCATCTAGCCAACCTTTACATTAGGGACATTGTTCGACTTCATGAGGTCCCTATGACAATCGTTTCGGATAAAGATCCGTGTTTTACGGCTCAGTTGTGGCAGAACCTACAGAGTGCCTTGGGCGCTAGGTTGTCTTTTAGTACCTATCATCCTCAGACTGACGGGTAGTTCGAGCGTACTATTCAAATCCTTGAGGATATGCTTCGAGATTATGTCCTTGACTTTAAGAGGTCGTGGGAGAGACACCTATCCTTAGTGGAGTTTGCCTATAACAACAATTTTTAGTCAAGTATTATTATGGCACCGTTTGGAGCCTTGTATAGCCGACTATGTAGGTCTCCCGTGTGTTGGGCCGAGGTGGGTGATGCACCTATGTTGGGTCTAGAATTGGTCCGAGAAACGACGGAGAAAGTTACACTTATCTGTAAGAGGTCGGTTACGGCTCAGAGTTGTCAGAAGAGCTATGCCGACCGTAGGAGGAGACCGTTGTCCTTTGAGGTAGGAGATTATGTATTCTTAAAGATATCACCGAGACGAGGTTTGATGAGGTGTGGGAAGAGCCAGAAGTTGTCTCCTAGGTTTATTGGGCCTTTTGAGATCCTAGAGCGGATTGGGGAGGTAGCTTATCGTTTGGCCTTGTTGCCATAGCTTTCCGGGGTTCATGACGTGTTCCATATCTGTATGCTTCGGAAGTATGAGCTGGATTCTTCACAAGTGCTGGATTGGACTGAGTTAGAGGTTGATGAGGATGTCTCGTATGAAGAGAGACCAGTTAAAGTCTTAGATACTCGAGACCGAGTCTCGCGTAGCAAGACGATTCCGTTGGTAAAAGAGTTGTGGCAACACAACGGAGTTGAGGAAGCCACTTGAGAGTGTGAGGTGGAGGTTCGTGAGAAATATCCGGACTTGTTTATTGATGTTTGAACATGTGTTGAAAACTTTATTATGTTAATGTAATGATAAACATTGTATATATTTCGAAAATGTAAATTGTATATTAAGTATTGGAAATTTGTTTACAATGTTGATGGAAGAAAATGACCGGTGGATGGGTCATAGTGTTGGCTATAGTTTGCTATCATTGTTTTAATTGGTTAAAACCTTGGTTTTATTATTTGGTTTAAATTTCGGGGACAAAATTCCTTAAGAGGGTGAGGCCATAGTGTTTCTGGTTTGGACTGACCCATTTGATGTTTTGGATCAAGGTTTCATTGTCATATATATAGTTATCCATGTCTTGTTTCCCCTCATATCTCTTTCAGTTTGGTTTTTGAGATCTGTTGATTGCGTTTGGAACAGGTTGATAGCTTGTTTTTTTTTTTAACTTTTGTTACCCAGATTTTTGTCCCTTCGCTTGAGCGGTCTTTGTGAAACTCCAGTACTTTTGTAGGTCTGCAAAAATACTGAGAGTTTGTATTCTTCGCTTGAGCGAAGCTTGTTGCGCTTGAGCGACGATCTCTGTCTGCAAAACCACTGGCACTGTGTATTTTGCGCTCAAACGAAGCTTCTTGCGCTTAAGCGAAACAACTTATTGTGTCTGGTCGCTCGAGCGACAAATCTTGGCTCGAGCGAACTGTGAGTATATCAATTCGTAAACAGGCCATTTTACATCACTTTTTCACCTCTCTCTCTCTATCTCTCTCTTATTGTGTCTGGTCGCTCGAGCAACAAATCTTGGTTCGAGCAAACTGTGCCCATATCAATTCGTAAACATGCCATTTTACATCACTTTTTCACCTCTCTCTCTCTCTCTAACATTTCAAAACCTTAAACCTAGAGCTCCTCTCTCTAGAACTTACTCTCTCTCTATAAATATACCAAGATCTACCCATTTCTCTACCCTACTCCCTTTGTTAAAAAAGTAGAGCTCGCCTAGAGCTTCGTTTTTATCCGAATAAAGTTGGGTTTTGGCTTCATTCGAGTTTCATCCATGTTTATCTCATCTTCTAGCTTTGAGGAAGGGATTCTTCACTCTTTTATAATTTTTAACTTAGCTATATGCTTTTATAAAATAATCTTCTAATTTGGAGGATTTTGAACCAACCTAGGGTTTTGGTTTAAAATCAAAAAAAGGGTTTTCAAATGGATGTATTGAAAATGACTGTGGAAGTGGAAATGATGTTGTGTTGTGATAACATTATTGATTTTGATACTTGGAATAGATTTTGGAAAAAATAAAAAAGGTTTTGCCCTAAATGTCTCAAATATTTATTTTGTATAAATAAATAGAATTGATATTGGAAATGTGAAATTGGATGGATATTGATATGGATGGTGGAGTTGGATATGTATTATCATTCACCTTGAAATCTGGAAAGTTTATCTGTATTAGAGATTTTATATCTGTTTAGAAATATCTGTTTTGGGCTATCAGTGGAGGATATCTATAATTGTTGTAGAAATTGCATGAGGATTAGGTGAATTGAAACTTATTTATCATCCATGTGCATTGAACATTGTTACTCATTTAATACATTACAAATGTATATGATTTTGAGAAAAATAGGTGAACGTGGAAAAGAGGTGTGTATCACCAAATCAAGTTGGCCTGTGTGTCTAGGGTGAAAGTCTTAAAAAATGTGCGTATACATGGATGTCGGTTCTTGCGGACGAAATATCCGCAAAATGGTAATAGTCGCGTTTGTATAGGCTACGTTTACATGGGTGCCGTTTGACGGTTTCTAGCCGACAAAATATACATGAAAGATTGTACCGGTTTGAGAATTTCCCCTTGTTTTCCATTGTAAAGGACATGATTTGATAATTGTAATATAAACTAAGCATGACATGGTTTTGGGAAAGAAAAGTAAAACGTTTTAACATGGGCATTGCATATGCATTTCACCCTTATAGCTTTGTTAAGATTCATATATTGTGTTGGATTATTTCTACTGGGTTTTGACTCACTCCATGTGGGAAAAACATTTCAGGTGTTGATGATATGCCTCCGCCAAGGCAATAGCTTGAGAAGAATTAGAGCAAGAGTTTCATTTTGTTATATGTATTTTTGTATCAGCCAAGGACTTTATGTGTATTGGACTTAAACTCCACTTTTGTTGTAACCAGGCATTGTCTTGGAAATTTGTAAGCCTTTAGGGCACTTATTATTTGTTTTATTTTTAGATATTATCTCATGCTGTGACATATGCTATAAATTCAGGGACAGGCTTATGAATGTATAACTGCATATGTTACCATTTTGTAAACTCAGTTGGAATCAATGAAAGATAATTATTTTTGCCAGTGTATTTATTGAATGCATATAATGGATGGTCTCTGTCTATTATTTCGAGGTGAGGTGTTAAAGGAGATATTGGAGCTTACAGCGCCATATGTCATAATTATCGCCATCTAGTTTTTCTTCCTTGGTCAAATCAATTGCAATGCCTTTTGTTGCCATAGTTAACTACATCCAAAGGAAAAAAATAATGCGCATGGGGTATTTAGCACAATACAGAATGCTTTTGCAACATAAATTCACATTAAATATTTATAAAAATGCACACGTCGCTAGATTGAAAATTTGCTAAGCTTATAATCATCTCTTGCACCTCTGGTGATATTTATCAAACATTCAATTTAATTTAATGCGCAAAAAAAAAGACACGAATAATCCTCCAGTACATACGATATGTAATAAGCATGATTTGAAAGATTCATATATGAGCATCTCAATATGATAATATAATCCCAAAAATGATAAACAACATTTTATCATGAAACTTTAATTAATCACGTTATTTCTAACATTCAGAATATGCTAAACAGAAGCAAATAAATTTTAGAATATTTTTGATATTTTCAAGAATTTTCTGAGATTTTCTTGAATTAATTAATGCATAGAAAATATAAATAAATATTTTAGAAACTAAGCATTGCTAAATTGAATACTCCAAATTTCTGGTGTTTATCAAGTTTGAAACGAAGTGGAAAATGACAGTTATCTTCAAATTTATACATAATTTATTTGTTCTTTTATATGGAAAAAAAAAAGGCAATGTAAGAGACATTTTAGAACGCAACATTAATGTAATTTCTTTCTTTGATTGTATCAATATGATGACATTTAGTTACATCAATAAATTTCTTCTTTGCCTGATAAAAAAAATATGATATCATTTAGAATTTCAATCAAATATGCTCAACACCAAAAAAATAAAATTTTGTTGGATTCCTCAGCTTTGTACTAATAAAGCAATTAGACTTCACTGTTCTCATGCACGGGTACAAGTTGTATGTCAACATCATCAACACTCACTATTGTTGTTGCCTTCATCAAAATATCAGAGGGGATTAGAGTTTCTGATCGATCAACTTTAGGAATAAGAAATATAAAAGCTAATGTTGCAAGTCTCAAAATGTTTCTTATGAACACCACCAACCATAAGTTTCTGAAATCAGTTCTTGTGACATGAAATAGGTGAAGAATCATCCCTCCACCCCACTTAGAAGAAAGTGAACCAAAACTGTCTATGCACATTAATAGTGCAAAGAACGTTCCCTCAATGCCTAGAGGACAAAGCCTTGTGCTCAAAACGATCATGGGCATCCACCTGATCCTTGTTATAATCCGAGAAACGCATTCCTCCATCACAACAAACAAGTAATCTGGGATTCCTAGATACAAATTCCACCGAAAAATGAAGATCAGGTCTAGCATTCCTGACAAGCCGTAGAGGAGTTGGGCAAAAAAGATTAAGTTTCTAAATGGAAAGTCTTTTAGGATTTTGTGATAGATTAGCACTCCAACTATTGAAGCCAAAGCACCAATTGCATATATTATCCCAATAAATTCCTGCACTCAAGAAAACAAAAGAAAAATAGAGTTATGATATTTGACAAATATGGTGGTACTTCGAATTTGGCATAAATCATGCGTTAGGAAGCCAACAAGATTAATTACTAGATAATTATCAATCTAAATGAAATTTTAGTAATTGTTTGGCATTCATAGTAGACTTTTACATTAAAAATAAGTAGGCATATAATCATTTTCGTGTAAGGAAAAAAATTGAGCTAATTAACTTGTAAGGAAAATTCACCAATGGTTCCTCTAGTTTCATCCCAGTTTCAATTTGGTCTCTATTATTTCAATTGCAACACATTTAGTCTATAATTTTTATATTTTGTGTTAAATAAGTCTAACACAATGGTTATGTGCAATGTATATAACTAATTTTCAAGGACAAAATTGCCCGCTCATCATTTCTGAGTTGAGTTAACTCAATCTGTTGTAGTGTCAGCTAGCTATCAACCACTACCAACTCCCTACAATCACCACACATCCACTATTAAACAATACCCTAACTACCCTACCACTATTATCTCACCTCCTTGCAACACCAAACACCATCATACGCGCTTTGTCATCGCCAAACTACATACAAGAAGGGATGGTAGGCTAGGGAGGATGTGGGTATCATTTGCCAATGAGGGGTTGTTGTTGGTAGTAGGGAGAGTAGAGAGAGAGAGAGAGGGGTTAATTATTTGGTGTGGTCAGGTACATGGTTAAATGAGATGAATGGTTATGTTAAGATAAAATGATTAAATTAGAAGGATCATTTTGCCATTGAATGTTGGTTACATGCAGTGCACGTGGCCATTTTATGTCCAAAATTTGGACGTCAGTTAAATGAAATATTGCAATTGAAATAATACAGACCAAATTAAAAGTTAAATGAAAATAAAGGGATTATCGATAAAATTTACCAACTTGTAATAGTTGTAGCTTGCTTGAATGAATTTATGTATAATAAACTACTAGGACAATTTATATATAAAAAGAGAGAAAGGTACCTGGGTGAACGCAGGACCAGCTTTAGGGTTAGTATACCAATAAAATTGGCCTTCATGAGTACTTATACTGAGTGCTAAAGACATGTACATGTATAGTGATGGTTTCCACACTTGAGGGAATTTTATGGTTTTGTACATGCCCTTCATTGCTCCCCCCAACTTCTCCAGTGACTGCACAACCAAAAAAAATAAATAAATAAAATACACGTTAGGATGAGCAAATGAAGTAAAATGTAAAATTTATTCTAACATATTGTATTTGAAAATGTAACATATCACCTATTGTTTTGTCATTGTTATAATATTTTTTCATATAATACAAAATAGTGAAAAAATAAGTAATATCATTGCTTTTTCTTCTTTAATCTAGATTCCAATTTTTTCTTCCAACTCCCTACCACAACTTAGATGCTTAACTCTGAACAAACAATAAATTTATAAACATACAATTAATTACAAATTAATCATACAAGATAATTATGATCATACCTATCAAACATTATGCATATTGAGATTTAAAAATATTATTTATTTTTATTTTGTATTTTGGAATTAATATTTAATTAGGAATATTTAAATTTAGTATAGAATAGTAGATTTATTTAGTTTCTTAATTTGATATGATACAATTTTCTTATTATTATAGTTTTGATTTTGATTTCCTATTTTATTAGTTTGTGTTCTCCAAGAAGTAGGTTTATTATAAATAAGGTTGTAAGCCTTAGGGCTATTTAGTTTTAAGTTGATATTTAATTAATAAAAATCGAGAGTTTTCTCAATATTGTTCGTTCTGAGAGATAGTATCTCTAGTTCGACTTTGTCATGGTTCGATTTCGTTGTTCGCTCTTCTTTCTGATACGTTTCCCTGCATTAGTTGGTATCAAAGCGTAGGCTCAAGTCCTGATCATGGTGCCAAGAGGAGCACCATGTGTACGCCAATGTTAAGAAGGTGTATGAGCGAGATCATGCAACATGAGATGCCTAAATAGAGGAGAGGTTTTGATGTTCGAAATGCTTGGAAGAGAAGCTTACAACCTTGTTGGAGTGTTTCAAAGCCATGGACGTTAGAAATCACCCTGACAACCATAATCTAAATTTATGATTTGTGGAGGAGGAGAATGGGAATGATGCTGAAAATGAAGACACTTACCCGATTGGCACATACAAATCACATCGAAGATATCCAGTGGTATAATGCATCCAATCAATGGGAGTCCGGCTTCAAACTTGACATACCAGAGTTTAAAGGTTATTTACAACCTAAAGAATTTCTGGATTGTGTTGCTGTTCTAGAACAAGAATCCTAAGTGAAAGAAATAAGAGAGTGATATTGAGAGAGTAAGAAAACTCTTGTATTCAATATATCTGAAAGTGTAAGGAGAGACTCCATATATGGGAGCTGCTTTATACAACATCATTATGAAAGCAGAACATATAATAATAGAAAGGAGCCGAAAGCAGCCGAAAGTGAAGGCAACCGAGGCAACCGAATATAATCCTATGCTCTGTCATTCTATAGCTATATATGATACATTAATATAATATATACATTATTATGATACATTAATATAATATAATATATACATTAACAGCCCCCCTCAAACTCAAGGAGGACAAACATCAACCAACTAGAGTTTGGAGACAAGTTCAACGAAGCGGCCAGGAGAATGAGCTTTGGTGAAGATATCAGCAGGTTGATCAACAGAAGAGATCGGATGAAGATGGACAGTACCACGAGTGACATGTTGACAAATAAAATGGCAGTCAATCTCAATGTGCTTGGTGCGATCATGAAAAATATCATTGTGAGCAATTTGAAGAGCACTGTGATTGTCACAAAAGAGGTCAGTAGCACCAGAGGGGGTAGCACCCATGTCAGCAAGGAGCCAACGAAGCCAGAGAAGTTCTTGAATAGTATCAGCAAGAGCACGGTATTCGGCCTCGGTACTGGAACGAGTAGTAAGAGATTGTTTCTTGCTGCGCCAAGAAATAAGAGAATCACCCAGAAAAAAGCAGAACCCAGTAGTAGAGCGCCGGTCAGTAGGATCGCCAGCCCAATCAGCATCGGAGAAAGCACGGTCCGGTCCGGCATGACCCCGTAAACTGTCCCGACATTGATTCCGGTTAGCTTCTACAACGGTTCGACACGACCATACAGTGTCTTCACCAACGGTCTGACACGACCATACAGTGTCTCCTATCCACTTTTATTTGTCAGTTTATTTTCTTATTTTGTTACTCTCTCCAAACTCAAGTTGGTTCCTATTCTCCTTGAGTTTGAGGGGGGCTGTTAATGTAAACTGTAAACTTCACCTACTCTCCACCTACTCCTCACCTACTCCATCTACTACACACTCACCTATTCTCTTCCCACATCCTCTCCTATATATAGGAATCATTGTAAACATATATAATCACAATCAATAATAAGATCAATAGATACAATTATTCTCTCTGTATTTCTCTCTTTATACATTAAATTTATCACTAAGAAATATTTTTTGATACAAAATCTTCATCATTGCAATCCTATATTGATTGGGATTCACCTCCAAAACATGATGAGTATTCGGAGGATGACGATATTGAAGTTTATGGCAATGGAGCAATTGAAATCACTTTGATAGAGGGATTTGGTGAAGAATTCAATGATGTCGGACAAGAAAGATCTGAGATTTATGTAAGAATCGAATTTATGCTTTATGTGTCCGAAAAAGCAGTTGAACAAAGGAGGTTTCTTCTCTGAATTGTAATTCTCTTGTCTTTCAGTTCAACAATTCTAGCCGTTTTTTTGAAGGTTGCTATGTTAGATGCCTTTCAACAAAACAATTGATTTTATGGATGAACAAAGAACAATGCAAAGCCATTATGACAGATAGAGGAGTTCCACTGGATTTTTATAAAAACATCAGTTGGCCACGTCAATGCGAAATTTATGCAATCCCGTCAAATAATGGAGGAAGCATGTTGTCATTTAATTTTTGTGATATCAACTTCAAGAGATGGAGTCTCTTTGATGGAGAATTTTCAGAAGACTTAGAAGAGCAAGGATTCATTGATTGGTCCTTAAATCGAGATGGATTAAATTTGTTAAAGGAAATTTCTCCTTTAACTTTGGAATACTACTATTTAAAATTTAGGTTTGAGAAAATCAGTCTTATATGTAAAATGAATGCAAAAAATGTATACGAATCAAATTGTTTCAAGCGATGGAAACTCGAGAACGAGTTTTTTCAATCAGAGGAGAATGATGGAGATGTAAAAATATTATATATTTTTATTTTATATTTTAGAATTAATATTTAATTAGGAATATTTTACTTTAGTCTAGAATAGTATAGATTTATTTAGTTTATTAATTTGATATGATACAATTTTCTTATTCTAATAGTTTTGATTTTGATTTTTGATTTTATTGGCTTCTTGTTCTTCAAGAAGTACGTTTATTATAAATATGGTTGTTGCTAATTTTTGAAGTTATTGTTTGATATGGTCTAAAGACTTGCGATTGTTGCTTCTACGTAATTTGTTGTAGTGTGATAGACCAATTGAGTGATTAAATCATGATAAATTGATTCCCAAAATATTTTTGTTTCCTTTCACTAAATATATATGTGTGTATCCAAAATATATAAAAGTAAATAAGTAGCATTTGGCTTGCTTATTTACTAGAGAAATACGTATCCTTTCACTAAATATATATGTGTGTAACAATTTTATATTAACTTAATATAGTTTCTAATACTTTTATAGGTTTATCTTTTGGAAACAGATTTTGCAAGCTATGGATGCTAGTTGAGAATACTTATACAAGTAAGGTTGAGAATTTGGAGACTGAATTTGTTTTGGTAATTTGTCTTTACGAAAGATAGATATAACTATGGTTTTTTAGAACTTATGGGTGGAATATATATATATATATATTTTTTTTGCTTTGGCGTTGTTAGTGTGGTAGAATGTTTTATAATTTTGATTATGATTTTCAGTGTAATATAAACAAATGTATGTCTTTAGATAAAAAAATAATTGTGGTTTGAATTTTCTTTGTTTTTGATGTGACGATTCTATGGTGGTAATATTTTTTTATTATTGTGGAAATATTACAAGATGCATGGATGTCAAATTAATATAGGATGTGAAAATTAATAAATAATTTTTTATAAAACAAGGAACATTTTTTACAAGCATTTATGCATGCTTAGTTGTGGATTTTAAAAGTGTCGTTAAAAAGAACATATAAGTGGCATTTCATAGTAGTGGTAGTAACTTTGTAAAATGTCACTAGAATAAACTCCAATGGTACTTATATCCATTTATGGCACAAATGAATTGAATTTAGTGGCATTTATAAAGTTGTTAAAATTATCAATTGTGGCATAACAAGCGCTATTAAAAAAACATATAGTGACATTTTTTAGATTGTAAGTCTTCTTTAATGGCACTTAGTAGCATCACGAATAGTGTTTACCATGATATCAAAGTGTTATTAAAAATCTTTAGCCTTAATGGTGTAATAGCACTTGCAAGTGTCACTGAAGTGCCACTAAATATTTTATTAATGGTACTTGATAGTGTCACGAATAGTGTCTATCATGACATCAAAATGTCATTGAAAGTCTTTAACCATGATAATGTAATGACACTTATAAGTGTCACTAAGGTGCCACTAGTATCTACCATAGCATGGGTATAAATGACACTTATTCAAAACACCACAAGACTAAAAAATATCACTAGATGAGTTGTTTTGTAGTACTTTCAAAATCAATTTTAGCGATTCTGGTTTAGACCCGACCCATGTTCCTTGGTTTTGTATGATTGTTCTTATCTTATTCCTCTTTTCCCTCATTGAGTTTGGCTATCGGGATGTGTTAGTTGTGTTTGGAACAGCTTGATACATTGTTTTTCAAAAATCTTGTTGCCCAGAATTTTGCTCTTACGCTCAAGCGTCACTTCTTGCCCTCGAGCAGCCTTTGTGAACTCTCAGTACTTTTGTAGGCCTGCAAAACTACTGGGAGAGTGTATTCTACGCTCAAGCGATGGTCTTTTGTTTGTAAAACTACTAAGAGTGTGCATTCTTCGCTTGAGCGTCACTTCATGAGCTCTAGCGGTGATGCCCTTTTTCATTATGTCTTGGCGCTCGAGCGTCACTTCTTGCACTTGAGCAGACT